TTAGGCAATATGCAAAGTTTTCGCTGATCCTGCCTTCTTCAAGTCTCCTGTTCATTAGATTTCTCTCAGTATATCAATGGTCTCTTGGATCTTGCGTTTTCTCGTGTTTTCACCATATCCAACCAACCTATCGGTCGATTTCCAGTCGATTTCGTGCCCCGTTCTTGCAATGTGTTCCGCTATTTCTGATCGCTGTGTATCCATGTTCCTGCAGAGTCTTTAATTTTCCTTGATTCGTAGGCCGTTTTTTCTTCCTGTTTCACCAATATACCTCTGTTCACATTTGCCGCATTTGATTCGATAAACTCCTAAACACTCAAGTTTGTCCGTCTTCTCGTTTTGCGTCGGCAGATAAGTGAAAAGTGTTTTCTTCTCCTTTGTTATCACCTTGATATTCCATTTTCCTAATAAAGGTCGCAATTGTTGGCTCAGTTTTAATGAGGGCAAGCAAATCTACTTTTGGTTGATATCCTGATTCCTGATATGATTTTCATAAAATCCAAGTTGAAATCTGCCCTTTATTACCTCTATATTTTTCTCTATAAGCTCTCTGGGGTATCCATTACTTAGACTAATCCGTGTCAATTTGTCCAACTCCTCGTCCCAATACTCTTTGTCTGTTAGTCGTAAGCTTCTGATGATCAAACTCCTCAGTATTCCGATCTTCAGTCTGTAATTATGATGAGACTGGAAATTAAGGATTATTTTCGCATACGAACTCTTTCTGCATAGTTTCCTCATGAGTGTCCCTCTGGAGCGTATGACTTCAACATCCAGAAGGGGTAGTCGTTCATCTTCCTCCACCTATTTCTTTTTTCATGTCACTTATCAGATCCCGGACCCTATGTGACTTCTGGTCGGTCATGCTCTGGAGTTCTTGAAAATCATCCAAGGCGAGAACCCTACCTAACTTCTTCCTTTATCTAGACTTGACATATATGAACTTATATAGATTACGCCTCTCGGTCTCGTAACTTCCCTTTAATTTCTGCATTGAAGCGTGATAAAGTATTTCATTCACAGTGTCCGAATGACATTTCCTCATTAGATTGCAGAATCGGGGAACGATACCATAATGTTTGCAACAATTCAAAGAGGCCAAATGGCACGATTGACTTACAATTGTCTTCTTTGTCCGGCTGTAATCAATGCATTTTTTGGCAATATTACTTCCATATGAAGACTCAAAATTTGATAAAAACCTATATTCAAGTTGAATAGCAGCCTATAACGAAAATTTAGCTCCTAGTGAAGGAATAAGCTTTTTCCCTTATCTTATGCACCGCAGTGCTGGCTCTCTTAATTAGGTTTTCATTCAATATCTGCTCACTTATTAGACGGTCCTACCCTTGGAAAAAATTTCTTGATTTGTCATGTATTCATCTGAGATTGGTAACTCTCATGTATTAGTCTGATCATTTAAACCTGAATCAGACTAAGCTAGTTATTTTTCAATTTTTATTCAGTGTTAAAACATAAGTAATTCTTCAATATGGATTTTGTTTTTTTAGATTGCTTAAGATATTTAGGGATTTATAGTTAAGTTTTCACACAAAGATAGTAGACCTCACGTTACCATTGAATTTATTTTGGCTCTGCTTCTTAGAAGCTTCTCTCATTCAGACTAGATCGCAGTTTTGAATTCCCCTAGGTCTCATGAACACTCCCATCTGGAGGTCTCATCCTGGCTAAGTGAGATTAAATGGCATCATGAGGCCTATTCATAACTTTGTGAGAAGACTCATCTATCAGTTATTAAATCACTTCAAGAGGCCTAGGTTTAATAGGTTCCTATTTTAACTATTTAAACCCTCTTTTGTTTGATGGCTCTTCTCTCTCCCTCTGATACTGTCTATTCACTCGTAATACCTTTATTTCGCGTCTAAATCTATTTTCTCCAACTAATTCTGCTATTCTTAGCCAATTTTACAATCTTAAGTTTTACTTCCCGGCAAACTTTGAGA